AATACTGGGGCTGGCGGACGGTATGGTGGTTAAGGTGCTGGACTCCTGCTTAGCCAATCATGGTTCGAGTCCAGAACCTGGCAGCTTCCTTTCTCACTTTCCCCTTCTCTCACTCTCTCTCATTGTCTCTTTGGTCAATTTAAAAAATAATAATAAGTAACAATAACAAATAAAATCAAATAAATATTTTTTTTAAAAAAAGAAAAGCAATATCATCCCTAGTACCATAAATTCAAACTTTCACCTCAATTTTTTTTCACTTAGGAAATAATGCTTATCAGAAAGTAAGTTACTCTGGAGAAGTAAATATTTCAGAGATTAGAAATGTATTCAAAAACTTTATCTAAAAATTTAAAGGATTTAATTTTTTTTAATTTAAGAATTTTTCCCTAAATAAATTACAATTAAATAAAGATGCACATATCTTTGCTTTAACATAACAGTTTATGATGAATCAAGATCACTAACATAAAGAAAAGCATTTTTTTTTGAGAGGTTTTTGCTATAGGGCGCGTGCGCTCACCAGACAGACAGAGAGAGACATAGAGACAGAAAGCGAGAAATCACCCCCCAGGGGGGATGGTCACGCTGCAATCCCTTCTCCTCCATTCTCCTCTCGGGATCTTGGGCACGCACGCACACGCGCCCGGCATGAGTTTTAAGCCACCGGGTCTGGGACGCGAACCGCGGTCGACTACGTGGGAGTCCAGCGACATAGCCATTACGCTAACTGCTGGTTCCCAAGAAAAGCATTTTTTGAACAGCATTTCCAGTTTACTACTCACCACAGAGCTCATTGGGACCTCAAAAGATATTAGAAAACAAAAAATAATAAAAATAATAAAACCTTGTTTTCAAATTAGTTGGAATAATTTCATGTTTAGGGCATTTAGCATCTTAATATATAAGATAACATTTTCAAAAAAGTTTATACTAAGTAATAGTTCCCAAATATTAGCAGCCAATTTTCTTTCATTTATTTTCAAGGAGGATCCTCTGAGATATTGTTCCTAGAAATAAACTTTGGAATATACAGATGCTCCCACAGTAATCAATCAATCATTCAATCAATGGTGTGGTATGGATGAAAGGGAAAATGAGATTTCCAACTCCTGATGATGCTCTGCTCTATAACTACCCTGAAATTGGCCCTCCCAAAAAACGCCTTGATGTTTGGTATGGTTTTGTCAACTTTTTTGTTTCTCATATGGGCAGGCTCCAAGATGTGTTACTGCGATTCACAGGAGCAGTATAAATAGCCCAAGGACCCACTCCAAAGTGTCCCTATGGAGTGCTCTCTAACAGATCAACAGTCTGCAAACCTTACTCAGAAGCTCAACCAAAGGCTACCACCTTCTGACTCACACTTCATTGACAGGGAGTGAAGGACATCACTTACTATTCAAAACATTCAACATTTCCGACTATGTACCACCATCTGTCTCACACTGACATCCTCCAAGGCCCTTAAAGCTCAAACTATCAAAAGGTGAACTCACTAGCTTGGCTTCTGACAATTTTATTTCACATCTTATTATTTTAATAGCATCACCATCTACCTGGTCACTTCAGCTTGTAAGCACTGGGCAAAACATTTATGTTTAACTTTTATTTATCCCCAGTTAACACCTTGACAACACCTTGACAGATTCTCTATGGTATAAAATTTTAAAAGTCCATAGACTAGAAATGAAACTATAGTGACTGGGGTTAAATGTTGACCTTGTATTTGTCCACTCTGCCTGGCTGTAGTCTCCTGCCAAATAGACTAGTTAACAACTAACCCGCAAGCATCTTCTGAGTACTAAACAAGATTATGTATGCAAAGTTTCTAGAAGGGTGTCTGAAACACAGACAAGTGCTCAAATAAATGGCAATCATATTCGAAGACATTGTACCAAGTACAGAAAGAAAAATGTGCTAAGTATCCATTAGTTCCTAAAATTCTATCTGCAGCCCTGACCTTTCTCCATAGAATTTCAGGCCTCAGCGTGCAGCTGTCTTGTTGACTGACACTCGTCTATACTGTTACCTAGTAGATATCTTAGAATTGGTTAGAATCAGTTTTATTTCATTCATATTAGAAATTCAACATAGCTCCTAACGTACGAATTCATTTGGCCTGTTATATACAAACAGGAAGTATAGGAACTAGGGTCTAGGCAATCCACCTCTCCATCTTGAGTGTTTTCTCAGATACTTCTTTTATGTTTTACCATCAGCTAAACCATACATAAAAGCAAACTAATAATCACCTTTTCCCCTCTTTGTACAAGGAGGTCTTCAAAACAATTAATGAAAAATGCACATTATGGAAAAACTATGCATGAAGTTAACAATATTTTCCACCAAAATAAACTCATACTTTAACTTCATTTTCCACAAACCTTTTGAAGTACCCTTGTACTTGTTTATCTCTGGTAACTAAACTCTTACTTTCTTGGCCTGAGTCAAGACTTGAGAATGTCCTTCATAAGACCTTCTGTCTTATTCTACACCCATCCTCCCACCTCCTACATCCATTTGGTTCTGAATTATGACAATTTTGTCTCTTACAAAGTCTCCTGTAAACTCTTTCTTTTCAATTCCACATTTATAGCAACAGTCTAGGGCATCATTACTTTATACCAGATCAAAAGTACCAGAGCTAGCACCCCTTCCTCCTGTCCACACATAACCCCGAATGCTTTACACACATTGCTACTTTCATCATTCCACATCCATGCCTATGCATACACCTGAAAAACACTTCCAACGGCAAGACTGAGCCATGACCAAGCCTTGGGGTTTCACATCTAGGGAAGATGACAAAGTAGAACCAAAGAAGCACCCAAAGAAGTGGAACAGAATCAGGAGAGTAGACGTGAGAGGAAAGTTAGAAGGAGATGATAGGCACAGAAAAAGGGTAAAAATGACACACTTTGCTTCTTTTCAATTGTCTAAAGTCTTCAATCAAGTTGATGTCTGCACACCAAGAAACATCTTGGGGAACTGAGAAAGAGAGCCACCTGAGGAGGCACATGAAAAGAGATTAATCAGAAATCTGTGTCTAAGGGAATAAGGCACCAGAAGATTAACCCAGGTACGAAGAAGGTCAAGATTCAATTGAAGGATTAAAAAACATAGGTACTGGGACCAGCAGGTGGCATGGTGGTTAAGGTGCTGGATGCTCCCACATGGCCAACCACAGTTTGAGTCCTGGACCTGGTGGCTTGTTAAAAAAACATCTCACTCTGTCTCTCTGGTCAAATTGAAATAAATGAATGAATATTTTTTTTTTTAAATCACAGGTACTAAGCACGTCATCAACATTTGTATTACAAAGCAAGGAAATCTATAGGTCACCAGAAAAGTCATGATGTATTTTTTTCTATTTTCAATAGAAAAATGTGTCAAGACTATTCCGACAAGCCATACTTGAAACATCATTCTATACTGTAATCTGTTCAACTCTTTGTGAGGCTCCTAAATCTTAGAAATTGATGTTCTTTATCATGTAAAAATGTGGTGATAGGGGCCAGAAGGTGGTGTGGTGGTTAAGGAACAGGATTCCAGTAGTGGAGTCCTGGGCCCCAGGATTTAAAAATCACAGTGTGCCATATTCCCGCAAACCCAAAATCCAGAAAGGAGAGTGGAGAAGGGATTGCCATGTGCTCATTGGGAGAGGGCAGTCTCACTTTCTCTCCGTGTCTCTGTCTCTCTCTATCTAGTGAGTATATGGCCCAATAGCAAAAACCTAAAAAAAAAAGTGAAGATACATTTTTACTGAGAGAACAAGTTACTTCTCAGTAAAAATGTCTTTAATTGAACTCCTCCTTTAAGAAAACTGTAGAATTTTTCACCAAACTTAAAGGACAGCTATAACAATATCAGAAATTCCTAATTTCCAAAGTACTGTCATTCATTTGTACTTTAGAAATCTTAGTATAAGGCTACTCTTTAATAGATTCTATTATATCTGAAGATCCTTTCAGCCCTCAATATCTGTGATTCAAAAATAGGATAAGTTACTAGATATTAAAGGTGAAGATAGTTTCTAGTATCCCAATTACAACTGGAATAATTACAAATAGAGAAATATGAGTAATGATTAAATCGCTTTAAAGAAAATGTCTTAAAGTAATCCCATCAAAATTATCTTAATTTCAGGAAGTAAAGATTCAGACAAATAGGAAGAAAGGCGCATACAAATGCTGAAACGGTAAATCAAGAAAATTACGACTAATTTCAGACACACCTACCCATGTCAATCTCCTTTAAGTTATATACAAAGCACTGAAATCTGAACATCTGTTTTCCACGACATTAACAAGAAATCTCGCTCAATGTCACCGTGTGCAAGTATACTACTGTGCTAAAACCCTCGCATGCAGGGCAGGCCTGACTCGGAGAACAGTCGCCCTCGGCTCCCAGCCCGCCATACCTCCCTGTCGCCGTGCCACAGCCGCTGTTCCAACACCGGGAAGCCGGTCTCCGCAAAGATGCGCTCCTTAACGTCGCGCGCTGTCCAGGACGCTGGAACCTCCACGGTCCTGCAGCCCACGCAGCCAGGGAGGACGGTCACCCGGACCCACCTGTGCAGAAGGCAGAGGGAACCTCAGTGGGACCACGTGGGGCGGACCTCACAGGCCTGGCATCCGCCGGGCGCGCGCCCCCACCCCCCGCCAGGACCCCCACGGGGCTCTCGGCCCGCCCCTGGAGGGCTTACCTGTCTCCCATCGCTGGGGACCGAGAGAGCGGGGCTTGTATCCGTCCCCCAACGCTGGCTCCCAGTCACGGCCAGCCCCGCAGCACCAACAGGCCCCGCATGGGCCCGAAGGGCGGGATCCTCATGGCGCAGGCGGGCCCCGCC